TAACTTGGTGAAGCCAGGAGGGCTAGCTCCTTATGGTGTTAGAGGTGTGCTTGATGGAGCAGCTATAGTTTACTTCAGCTACATAGGCTATGACTCAGTTTCAACCTTGGCTGAAGAGATCCAAAACCCTCCTGTAAGCCTTCCAGTGGGGATCATCGGTTCTGTTCTTATTGTCTCGGCACTTTACTGCCTCATGGCCTTGGCTTTGTGTATGATGGTTCCTTACAATCAGGTCAATCATCTTAAACTTGATCAAACAAAACTCAAAATCCTGAAATATATATAGATGTGTCAAGTTTTTCTTAGTGGAACAATCTTGATAAATAATTGTATGGCATTCTTTTCGTATATGATGTATAGATAGCTGAAAAGGCATCATATTCAATGGCTTTCCAAAAAATTGGTTGGAAGTGGGCGGGGAATGTTGTTGGGGCAGGAGCAAGCTTGGGGATAGTAGCTTCTCTCTTGGTTGCCATGTTAGGCCAAGCCAGGTACCTATGTGTTATAGGAAGGGCCAGGCTAGTGCCATCCTGGCTATCTAAGGTGCATCCTTCAACAGGCACCCCATTGAATGCCACACTCTTTTTGGGTATGTGAATTTTTCCGAATTCTTAACTTCTTCATGAACGTTCTATGTTGTACTAACTCATTCACACTTCACAAAGAGTACATGACATGAGAATTAAGTGCTCTCCTTTTTCTTTCTCAACAAAAATGACATTTTATGGTGCATCCTTCATACGTCTGATACAACTAGTTTTCAGAATAAATTTCCTTCTCTTGTAACTAACTTAGCTCTTTCAATTCCCTAAAAGGGTGATGCATTTTATACATTGACGAAACATTTAAAAATCACACTACCATCATGTCTGATATAGTTTGATTTTCTCTCCTTCCTCAAATTAATGAGGACACTTCCAATAATCAAATAATTTATTTATATCATTCAGTCAAACGAACCATATATTGTGATTGTGGTTATTACTGTTTTCTCTTAGCCTAGCATATCGGCTTGAAAAGAAAAAAATAACATAAAAGAAGGACTATATATTCAGTGTGGTAATTGAGTAATTTAGGAAGAAGAAATAAAGAAATAAAGAGAGTTGATCTGTCTCCATGATTGTAGGAATTTGCACAGCATCGATAGCACTCTTCACAGACCTGGACATAGTGATTGAAATTATCTCCATCGGCACACTGTTGGTGTTCTACCTGGTGGCCAATGCTCTTATCTATAGAAAATATGTGATAACAAACAAAAATCCACCTTTCCGCACGCTGTTCTTCCTCTTCCTCCTTACATCAAGTGCAATAGGCTTCTCAATATCATGGAAACTGAAACAGCAATGGTGGGGTTTACCTCTATTTGGTGGGATCATAATCACCATTACAGCCTTCTTCCAGTACATGGTCCCTTGCCTTGGTCGGCCTAGTGTGTGGTCAGTGCCATTCATGCCTTGGCTAGCTGTCATATCTATTTTCCTTAATGTCTTCCTTATGACCACACTGAAGATGCTCTCATTCCAAAGGTTTGCTATATGGGCATGCTTGATTACTGTGTTCTATGTATTATATGGAGTTCATTCAACTTTTGAAGCAGAAGAGATGGAGATGGAGATGGCTGTAAATGAAGTGCCAGACCCATCTATCCAACTAACTAAGCTAGATGTTTAACAATTAAGTTCAATCAAAAGAAAATCTGTCTTTTCCTTTCATTGATTTCCTATTTTCTTTTTCACAGAATTCATCATATTGAGTACAATACCAATGATCATCAAACGACTACTCCAATATGATAAAAACATGGAAAAATACCTGAAAGGAAAAACGATTGAGAGAGAAAGATACCTTTATTATATCTTTCCTTTTGTTTTTTCTCCCTTTCATCTGAGTCATGGTACTGATTCCATCGCCAGATGTGCGAGAGAGGTCAATAACATAAACTTTTGAAGAGTGGGAGGATGATTGAGTTGAGCCACCTACCATACAATGATATGAACCCAATATTGAATCTCTCGGAGGAAAAGCATAAGCCAACTCATTTTTCTTTGTCATTTGCTAGCTCACCCAAAATGGGCATGTTGTCAGCTAATACAACCATTTTCCCTTTGAATAATAAAGTCATCATCATCCCATAGAATAGAACCAAAAGCTTGAAAAAAGAATGACGTGACTTGTAACACCCCAATCTGGTATTGGAAAATTTTATGGATTTTGTCATGACATTTAAATAGATGTTTAAATTTAAATATGTGAGGTCTTTTTTATATGATAAAATTTTGAGATTTTTGGGTAAAAATTGATAATATTTCTCATATTTGGTGTAAATTTTCACGAATAATATCAAAACGGTTATTAATCGGACGAAATTTAAAATGTTACACCATAGAAACCACCTCTAGAATTTTATGTGATCTTGTGATCTATGTATACTTTATGTTGAGCTTATCTAATATTTATTGTGATTCGATAGATCTGTGTGCTTTGTGTTGTGTTGGGTTTACTTATCTAACGTTTAGTGTGATTCAATAAATTTATATGTTTTGTGTTTGTGTCAAAAATATTTTGTGTTGAGTTTGTTCAATATTTGATTTGATTCGATGTTAAACTTAACATGGATGTTAAGCTTTATTGAAAAATTCTGTAGATCTATTATGACATATAAATTAAGACTTAATCTTAAAATTTATAAAACATCTTTTATAAAATAAAATCGTAAAAATTTCGAATCAAAATATACAAAACCTCATAAATGGAATGCGAGTATCACATGACTTATATTCTACCTAGACGAGATATTAAGGTAAATACACACTGCCAAATGCCGATGGCCTTTTTGATTCTGAATATAAAGCAATGCAACTGTGAGAAATATTAACCTTTACAGCTGAAGTCAATAGTTAGTTTAATCTACTAGAAAAACCTTAACAGCTGAAGTCATAAACATTAATATAACCATACAAGATTGTACTGAAAACTACAGAATTTTCAATGATAAGAAAAATATTCATACAATTACATTATTTAGTGGGTCACATTATAAAGTTGTGATCTGTTCATATCGTTCATGATGCTGATTATTTGAGTTAGAAGGATCTTATATTTAGTGGGATCTGATGTAAAATACGCCTTTTTCAAGTACTTCTTTGCCCACTTTGATTGGTTAAAAGCAATCTTTTCTTCCTGGTGGCCTTCTTTCTTCTCATGGGTTCACATTTCATTATTTGCTTTCTATTGTCTCCTTTGCTCTCATTTACATTGAGAATGGTAAGCTGATTTTACTCTCTCGTCTTCATTGCCATCCTTGCATTGTCAAACGTTGGTGGAACGAACTATTATTTCATCCATGAACCTGAAACATATCATATATCTTCTCCTTTTCACTTCTGTATACGAATGTCTGTTCTTATCTTATAAACTGAATAAAACAACATGATGATGTCATATTTGTTAGCATTTCGGCTCCAACAAATGCTAAGCACACAAATCATACACCCAGAATTTGTGTTAGTTTTTTTGCTAGGAAAATCAAAATGCAATGTTGGAAATTGGAATGCTTCCCACGTCTGAAATAGCCAAGGGTGCAATTAGGGTTGGCATCGGGTCGGGTTCAAGGCGGGTTTTACTCCCCTCGAACCTGATCCGATTTTATGTATTATTAAATCAGAATCTGACTCTATTCGAAATTTTTTTTATTTTTTCATACACAAATCCGATCTCGATCAGATACTATATAAATCATATATGATTCGATCCGATTCGAAATTAATAAAATATTATTTTTTAAATATAAATATTTAAAAATATCATTATATAAATATATATATAAATAAAAAATTAAATAATTAATTAAAAAATAATTTTTTTATATAATATCGAGTTGGGTTTGCTTAAAACCCAAACCCGACCCAACCCAAAACTCGAATTTAAAAAAAAAAAAATCTGACCTCATAGGATTGAGTCGGATTAAAATCTGTCGGGAACGGTTTGGATTGACGACCCTAGATACAATTTAGGGCAAGCCAAACTCTTGAAGGATTTGCAAATTTATCACGTAAGTTTCAATGTTTATATTATTAATTCATGTGACATGAATGTTGAAACACTTTTTAGAAATTGAGTTTGAAAATATACCTTTCAAATGAATTAATAAATAAAAGTTTAGACATTAAAATAGATTAAAACATTTTAAAAAAATTCGCCTCATTATTGAAAATGAAAGAAGATAAATGAACTGATAAATAAACTTAAAAAAAAAAAAAAACATGCTAAGGAATTTCAAAAATGGATTTTGGACATTGTAAAAAGCGTGCATTAAGGCGAATTTGTGATGAAAATTAGACTAAAATTGTGGAAATAAGTTGTGGAGAGACGTCTAAGAGAATTTAATCATGAAATACTAACAATAGAATAACGTATAAAAATTGTTAACCTAAATGTCTAATTCAAATCTAACATTACAACTTGTGAAAATTATTTGAATTTTGTATGTAAAAGTTCTTTTGACAAAATTTATCTCATCAATTTATTATTTTATCTTTTAACGAAGATTAAAATATTACATTACAAATTTCTTTGTTGGCAAATGCATAAGAGTAGTCCCATCTTTATTTTTTTTTTCTTTTGCATTTTCATCATAATTAATATTGTTACCCAAGTTCATGAAAATATAAGAATTCTATAAAAAAAAATTTTAAATTAAAAAAAAAAGGACATGAAATCATAATAATTCTATAAAAGAATTGCATATTTTTTTTTCAAACTAGGATGCAAGAAATACTCGTGAATAAGTAATTACTTATACTTGAATTATAAAATATTTGAACTTCAAATACCAATTAAAGTCGAATTCGAGTATATTTTGTACTCGTGCAGCCCACAAGCTTAAATATTTTTTATTTTAATTCATTTTAAATATTACATGATACATAAAATCATATATAGTAAATCATTGAACCTAATCAAATCAAGTTTAAGTACACCTTTTTTTTTTCCCCTCACATTGAGCTTTGAGCATTAAAAAAAAGAAGCTCAATCAAGTCTTGTAGTTGATTTAACTTGGAACTCCAAATGTGTCCGCTTGACTTGTCACTTGATCACACCCATGATATGATGCTAATAGTTACTCCAGAAATGCTTGGAGTGGGTTGGGAATAGACTAAAACTAGAAAAAAAAAAATGCGAAGAAATAAGCATGTGTTTCTCACAATCAAATTACACTGGATATGCATCTCCAGATTCATGGTTTGGTTGTGGTTTTGGGCTTATCCCACTCTTCCTTGACTCCCATGCTTGTAAAGGGAAACTTATATGTGCAGAACAGACACCTTAAATAGTAAGAAGGATATCATCCAGGCACCATAAAAATGCATATAAAGAATAAAAGCAATGAACTGGACCCCTGAGCCTCTCATGTTGCACACTATATTTGTTCCAGGTCTAACAAAAACCCATGGTCTTCAAACATTCAATATCAATGCATCAATACTTATAAAAAATAAAACAAAAATGTGCCATCAATGTTACAACCATTATCAAAGAAACCATCAAGTGCTGCTTTCTAAGATGAAAGAAAACACAGAGCACGCACACATACAGTTATATATGTAGTTATGTACTATATGTAGGGTTAAATATTGAAGAAATGTGCATTTCATATAAATCTAGTCATGACTAATTCAATCTAAGGAAAATGAATTGCATTTATTAAATCTAGTTACAGAAACTTAATCATGTTGTTTTTAGTCATAATACTTAATCCAGGATTAAAAGCCTTCACAAATTCACAGTGAACAGATCAAGGACACTGGCAAATTATGAGAGACAATCTCATTTTTGTTAAATTCCTCTTGATTTTGAATAAAAAAAGAGCATTAAACTAGGTTGCTCTGTTTCCAAAAACATTTTGGCCAACTTGGAAGATAACGTAGATGGTACTAGGTAAGTAAACTATACTATCTGAACATTAGGTGACACTATATCCACCTTTTTTTGTTATCATCTCCTTGCCATTCTTCAATCCCATTTCCATTCATGTTAGGCGACCGCAAGGTCGGTTTCTTTTTCCTTTTCTTCTTTTCCAACAACGCCTCAGCAAATGCATCAATGATCTTTTGTTGTGACTCAAGCATCATCTCATTATGCTTCATCTCCATCTCCATTCTCATCTTCTCAATCTCCTTCACCATCTCTATCTTCATCTTCTCCATCCTCACAAACCGTTCAGCCAACAACTTAATGGAGGAAACCATCTCCTCAACTGGATCCACACCCCTCTTGACTCCAGCAATACCATTCTTCCTCCCAAGCCCTGGCCTTGAACAAGAAGCTAATTCATTCAAACCCCCACAGTCTACACCTGGGTTAAAGCTCCTATCCACTCTACCACATCTATCCGGATGAAAACCTTGATGCACTGAATCCCAACCACCTGAAACTTTTGCTCCGAATCCCATTTCTTCATCAATGATATACTCTTCCAAATCATTATCATAATCACAATCTATATTAGGGCTACCATAATTCTTTGGCTTGAATCCAAGGTTCAAAAAGCTCCTATCACCTAAGGTCTTGAGAGGAAACTCTCCAACACTATCAACACCTTGACGAAAACTATGGTCAAAATCAACCATACAACCATGACCATCGCCGATTCTACCATCACTCTTTATTTTTTTAATTTCTTTAGCCATAAAATCCCTATTACCCTGCCATTTCACCCCATAACCAGCTCCAAATTTGTGATCAAAATCAAATTTTGAACCATACCCATCTCTAAAATCATGATCAAAACCAAGATTAGACCCAGAATTCCCATCAATCTTTTCACGATTCTTCAATTTCAAGCAAAACCCATCAAATACACTAACTTTATGATCAACAACATGATCTTGATCATCAGATCCAGCGACCGACGTCGATGCAAAATTCATAGCATCAAGCACAGGAAACATGTCCCAAGAAGAAGAGAACTTGCCTGGATTTTTAAGGCTCCGTTGCTTCTCCGCACGGTACCTCTTCCTCAGCTTCTCGATCTTATGCCGGCATTGAATGGACGATTTCGTAGTCTCAGGATCAGATGCAGAAGAAACGGCGGCGGACACGGCATCCCAGTCAGATGCCTTCAGGTTCCCCCGTCGAAGAGCGAACCATTTCTCCTTGTAAGCCTCAACCAACGCCAGGGTTTCCTCCTTACTCCAGCACGGCGGAGGGACCCGCCGTTTCGCGGTGGCGGAGGAGGATTGTGGAGGAGGAGGAGGAGGAGAAGTTTCAGTTGACATTGCGAAGGTGGTGGTGTGTGTAGGATAAGGGAAAGAGAAGGGAGGCGTAAGTTAGCACAGATGGGGAGCATTTGTTTTTTGAGGGAGGGTCTGGAAGGGCAGTAAAGATGGAGGCAGTTGGTTGGTTACTTGGGTTGCCTGGAGAATGGGGGCGGCTAGCGTGCGCGAGGGGAGGGGTGGAGTGTGACGCGACAGCAAAACACGTATGACTTTTTTAAGGTTATAAGTAGAACTGTGGAAATGTAAGATACCGGCAATAAACACGCAAATGAAGTAGTTAACGTCCAGCTAATCAAAGTGGCTGAGGTGTGAGGGGGGCTGAGGCTGAGCCCACTCCCTCCATGTTTCTCTGTCAAAAAGAGACAGGGCGGAGGGGTTTGCGTTGGACTGACATTGTAGCTGATGGAGGTGCAGCGCCAGGTGTTGGGCACTTGGATTGGTATTGGATATAATTAAAAGTGGTCTCATTTTGGGCCTTTCGTATGGATAATGGACCGCCATTGATGAGGATACCATTGTTCCAACTTGTTAAGTGCAGAACTTTTATTTCAATAATCAAAGTTAAATTTTGGTAGTCTCAAGTATCTGAGAAAATACCATTGTTTTAATGTAAATATTTCTAACTAGTAAATGATGTTGCCATTGTTTATCCTACTTCATTTTGATTGGGGCACCCATAACTTTATGCTTCAAAATTCTATTTAAATTTCTATAGATTGAAGTTATGTGCTTTATGCTTTGATCAGCTTTTAGTTTCTTGATGTTCCTGCTTGTATATGTAGTCAATGCTTGAAAGTTCCATAAACCCCCCCCCCCCCTTTTGTAATAATGAATAGATCAAGCAGCAGTCTAATGCAGGGCCTTCGCCTTGCTTTCAGTACGAGCAGTGATAAATGCCATTTTGGCTATTGACTAGTGCGGGAGATCCAGATATCCTAAAAGTTCTTGTTCCGCCACAGGCCAACACCATAACGAGACAGTTCTTTACAGTCCATAGTTTTGGAACCATGCAAAAGAGTAAACGACCAAGTTGGTTTGCCAATTCTGATATTAGAGTTCAGACTGTGAACGTCACGGGAGTTTCCGTTTTAAAACTCTGCCCTTCAGACCTCAACATTCAGTATGAGATTATGGATTTGTTGGTTCAATATTGTTTTCTAGGATGTTCTGCATTCAGCGGTGTCAAAATATGTTAGAAATATCTTTGAATTGAGAAAGATTATGCTGTTGCGTGAAAGTGAAAGGGAGAAGAAAAAGAAGTCAAAAAGGTTTGGACCCACTGAGGATTGGGGTTTTGAACCCGACGTGAATCGAACACGCAACCTTCTGATCTGGAGTCAGACGCGCTACCATTGCGCCACGGATCCGTTTGTACCATTACTCCTAGAAAAATTTATATCATTATCGTCAAATTCCACAAACAGACAAACTGGAAGGGGCATCTGGCTTTCTTCTCTGTTTATAGGATCCTTTATTACTTAGTTTTATGTGAAAGAAAACTCAATGCATGGGATTTAAGATTTTTTCCTAAATATCTAAGCACCTCATCATGTGAACCGAATATTCTTTGTTCTAATAAACGTTGAAAGCTACATTGAGCACGTGGTGGTTAAAACATTACCAGCTCACTCATTGTCCCATTCTTCTAGTCAATTGACATCCTTCGAAGTATATCCTAGTTTGGCCTACCTTGTCCGATTTGTCAAATTTGTAGGGCATAGCAAATTTTCAATAATCGTACCAAAAGAAGCCATAAATAGAAGTTGGCACGCACAATGACCATGCAATTGAAGCCTCACGATTGGGTTTTCAAGTGTTTTTTTTTTTTTTTCCCTCTTGGGTGGGTGTTCAAGTTTGAAAAACCAACATCCTTTGCCACTGCTTTTATCCAACGTAAAATGAAGAACAGAGATGACCAATTCTATATATAAAAATCCATACACAATCTCACAAAGTCACGGACAACCTGATAAGTATCAAAGGAGAAGAAAAGTTCACAGCTCCCTCTGGGAAGGGAAGTTATTTATAGTAGTACAAAAAGCTCTCTCCTTTGCAAAAACCAGACAAAACAAAAATTAACTAAATAACTATTCTCAACAGAATCAACTAACTGTTGACTGGTTTATTCCAAAGAACTACTAATTAACTGTGTTCCCGGTGAGAAGTTCCTTAGCAGACTTGAGCCTTCTCTTCCTCAACCTCTCTGATATGGCAAAGGCTAGCTCTAATGACTGTGAGGCATTCAACCTAGGGTCACAATGTGTATGATACCGAGAGTTCAAGTCATCAAAGGTCACAGTCTTTGACCCTCCTATGCACTCTGTTACGTTCTGCCCCGTCATCTCCAGATGAACTCCTCCAGGGTAGCTCCCTTCTTGTTCATGAACATCGAAGAATGCCCTCAACTCAGACTGAGAACAATGTAAAAGAGAAAAAAAAAAAAAAAACTCATTTAGGCTTATTATGATCCAAAAATGGTTCCTAAAAAACGTAAGTTCCAGAGTTCTTACCCTGATTGCATCAAATGGACGAGTTTTGAGGCCACATGGAGCTTTTATTGTGTTTCCATGCATGGGATCGCTCACCCAGGTGACAATAAGCCCAGCCTGGCGCACAGCCTTAATAAGATGTGGAAGCTTTACCCGCATATTATCGGCTCCCATGCGGGTGATTATTGTCAGTCTTCCAGGTTTGTTCCGAGGGTTCAGAATTTCACACAATTGTACAAGTTCCTTTGGGTCCATCTTATCACTCACCTACATGATGCATATAGATAATCAGCAATCAAAAATGTACTATTCAAAAATAACACAACTAAAACCATGTCAAGCTTTTTTCTCCGCTGTCACTGATTAAAGAAAAAGAAAAACTATGGTTAGGTTTACTAAAACTTGAAACTGACATGCACTTGAGCTTCACCTACACAAATCAACTAAGCTTACTCAACAACTTTAAAATTTACAGCAACCAAAAATGTACTATTCAAAAATAACACAACTAAAACTATGTCAAGCTTTTTTCTCTGCTGTCACCGATTAAAGAAAAAGAAAAACTATGGTTAGGTTTACTAAAACTTGAAACTGACATGCACTTGAGCTTCACCTACACAAATCAAATAAGCTTACTCAACAACTTTAAAATTTACAATAATGAAATCCTCAACTTAATTGTTCACTACATTTATGGTTTGATATTTTGACGCTAAAAACTAAGAAGTATAAATCATCTAAAACTTGAGTTGCACAGTTCCATACTCAAATAGGAACAACTGAGCCTACTCAATCACTTCAAGTACCCAATACGTGAAAGCTTGAAGCCTTCAACTTCATGAACTAACTCTTGTCAGTAGACACAGCTGAACCAAGGTTTCACTATGAAGTTCCAGAACAAGGGTTGATGCCATGATGAATCTCAAAACAAGCAAAAGTCATACAATTGTTTAAGCGTGTTCAAATGCACGGATGGCATACTTACTAATCAAACTAATTACCAGATGAGTGTTAACTTCCCAACAACAGTTTGAATTCAATTAACAGATGGTTCTCTATTGGAATCAAAATTAAGGTTCTTAGCTAACATTAAGCTCCATTTTAATAGCAAGGAGACAAAAGCATATGAAACTTAAACCCGCTTGCCCATCAACATAATAGTATCCATTAACTCTTACCAGTGTAGAATAAACTACTGCTATACTAATGATAATTAAAAAAAAGACCGTTAAAAGAGCTCTTACTCACTGTCAAAATAGTGTAACAGGAATGTGATCATTATCTAAACAAATCTTATAAACAATTGGCAATGCTTTTAGATTCTTAAAGATTATAAATTTATAAGCACCATTTACCTTTATGCCGAGAGGATTGGATATACCCCGGAGAAATTCAACATGTGCTCCATCTAATTGCCGAGTCCTCTCACCTACCCAAAGCATGTGAGCAGAACAATCATAATAGAGGCCAGTCGTTGAATCCTCTCTGGTCAAGGCTTGCTCATATGGTAAATGGAGGCATTCATGGGACGTCCAAAAATCAACTGTGTTCATTAAAGGGTCATCAATAGTAAACCCAGCCGCAGCCATGAATCCCAGAGCTTCATCAACTCTTTGCGCGAGCTCCATGTACCTAATTATAAATCAAAGTCAGATTCTAAAGCAAACAACAAGAAACAAGCCTAAGGCCTGAATAAGAGATTCAAAAGTTAAGAATTTACCTGTCTCCTTGTTCACTATGTCTAACAAAATCGAGATTCCATAGAGAAACTCTTTGCATAGCGGCATAACCACCAGTAGCAAATGCTCTGAGGAGATTCAATGTACCAACAGATTGAAGATAAGCTCTAATCAGCCTTTGAGGGTCAGGAACTCTAGATTTCTCATCAAAAGCATCACCATTTATGTTATCTCCTCGATAACTCGGTAACTTAACTCCATCTTTTACCTCAAATGGGTCTGACCTTGGCTTTGCAAATTGCCCTGCCATCCTCCCAACCTATTACAGCAATCAGGAAAAAAAAAGTCAAAGTTTAAACTTTTTGTCTTAAAAAGGGTCAAATTTAGCTAGAGAAAGTTGGGATTTTGTTAAACAAACAGACAGTGATGACAGGTATTTGGGCACCAAACATCAGGACAATTCCCATCTGCAAAAGGACTCTGAAAGTGTCTCTGATGTTGGTTCCATTGAATTCTTTGAAACTCTCTGCACAGTCACCGCCCTGTAACAGAAACGCTTTCCCAAGGGCAGCGTTTGCTATCTTATCCTCCAACTTTCTCGCCTCCCCGGCGAACACAATTGGCGGGAACGACCCGATTGTTTTGAGTACCGACTCGAGCTCATCGGCGTCCGGGTATTCAGGAAGTTGGAGGGCCCGTTTTGACTTCCAGGAATCGAGAGACCAGTGCGTTTGACCAGTGGAGGGAGAAGAAAAGGAGGCGGAAACGCAAGCGATAACGGCGGGGTTGGGTGTTTGGTGACGTGGAGGGTGGGATTGGAGGGGAGAGGGGGAGGCGGGTGGTGGCACCGACTAAAGAGGGTTTTGGGGCGGTGAGATTAGCAGAGCCTGAGAATGCGACCGCCATGTTTTTCAGTGTTGGGGACAGAGAGTGTGCAACGGAGGATGTGGAAAATGGACAGTAGGAAAGAAAGATTCTTTTTAACGGATTTTCTGATTGATGCTTTTGCCTTTTGGCCCTTAAAATGACTCCCAAACGACAGCGTGCTATGCTGAATTTGTTGGGTTGATTGAATTGGGTAAAGATGATTGATGGAATAATGTTGCGTTACCAATTCTATGATCAACTTTATCTCTCGTCTTTTTATATAAAAAAATCACAGTTCTAAGAAAACATCATCTTAATTACTGTTAAATGTCAACTTTTAAGAGCATATCTTACGCTTTTTTTTTTTTTTTATAATTATGATTAAGTATATCTCAATTCTCAAATGTTGTTATCAGACAGAGAAGAGATGGCTGGACAGGAAATGGCTAAAAAGTTAATAATTGTAACAAAATTGCACACAGATTTAAGAGAAAACTCAAATAGACATCCAACAACAATAACAACATAGTACAAATAATTTAATGAATCTTGACTGTGATAAAAAGCAAAAAAAAAATGGGGAAAGTTTTGAACTATATATGATTCAAATGATGGATCAGTATCACAACAAGGTTGGATACTTTGCATCGAGGAAATCTCTTAGAGTCTGGGCAGCTTTTCGACCACCCATTAGTTCAGCTAGCTTCTCCATGGGAAGAAGTGCAAGTTCAGCCAAGCTCTTACATCCATCCATTATAGCCCTGTAGTTAGAGTCTGTCACTCCTGGGAGACGTCTCAGAAACTCAACAGCAGATGTGTTGTAGTTTTCAGCTCTGTAACAGAGAGAAATAGTCAGTTAAGTTTCTTATACTGAAAGATAAAGGGAAGGCAAAAAAAGAACACACAGCTTACCTAACATCATTTTCTATGAAACCCTCTTCCGAGGGTACACCAACTCTCATTGCCTTTGCCTCATCAGGTTCATCCTGATTTGTCTTCAGAGAAGCAAATATTTCAGCAGTTGCATGCAAGCTGCGAGACCAGATGATTCGTAGGCGGGGGAAATGAAGTACAAGTAATGACAGTTTGGATATGATATTATTTGGTGTTACATCATCACCAAGATCACTAGCAGACTGCATACACCAATCGAATATACATTCAAGGCTAATCCACTGCCTTTCTATTTTATCATATTCAACCATAGCATAAAATTTAGTTCAGGTTACCTGAAATGAAAAGCTTTTGTCTTGTGAAAACTCAATTAGAAGAACAGGTATTCGATAATAACGAGCCATAGTCTCCACTTGGTGGTAAAGACGGCCTGATGTGAAACTCATAAAAAGATCTTGAATGCTTTTCCTTTCAACACAAATAAGTGGTGAGAGAACATAATCACCAACTTCTAAGGTTACTGGGATTATGCGCATGCCCTTCTGGTGAAGAACATTTGGAAGACTACTCATGAACTCCCTCATGTCCACTATTATCTGCAAAGATGCAAATCCTAAATGAAACAAATTTACTAGCAAGCAAACAAGGGAAAGTACTTGAGAGAGGAACAATATCACCCACCTGCATTTCTTTCTCAGTTTCCTTTCTTCCACCTGCCTTTCTGGTGATTGAGTTCTGGGAACTTGAACCTTGTAGCTCTGAGGAAGAATTTAAACCAAGGCGGAATCCATTCTGAAAAAAAAAAGGTAACACATAACATACAGGGCAGAGAAATAAGAAATCAATAATTAAAAAAATATATACTCATTCACATTCTATGCTAAATACTTAAGCAAATTATCCATTAACTTTTAGCATTATGCAGCTTATCAATGCTTTATCACCCAAAAGGAATGACTGTCAGAATAGCCACCTCTTCAGATGACACAGAACTACAGTATATCATACCTGATCAACTGGGATCATCATCATTGATTTCTGCCTGATCAGAGATTCAAATGCTCCATTTTCTCTACGAATACTTGCTTCAAACTTTTGGACTTCAGTAGAAGCTTCATAAAAAAGAAAATAGACCTTCAACTTTTTTTCAGGATTTTCTGCTTTGTAGACTTCAATCTCCCTAACAAAAGTCATATCTGGATGGTAAACAATAATTACAGAGGGCCTCAAAACATCTAGTATTGGCTGATCTCTCTCCAGAGCATGAAAGTGAACTGGTGGCAATTGCTTAGAGTTGTGTGTTTTTGTATCATCAATCCTGTCAATATGCATCCTAGGAACCCCATTGCCAAAAGTAGGGTTAATTTCATTTCTTTGGCCTTCATTTTCTGAACCAGAAATTTCAGGTCTATCATCTGTTGCTACCTCAGTATTATTGGAGCCATCTTTATTCCTAGAACGCCGTGTATTTGCGGGGCCTTTTTTAATCCTTCCTCTTCCCTTTCCTTTCCCATGTCCTCTGCTGCCAACTTGAGGTGCAGGATCATCTGCAGAATCCTTTTCCTTTTCAGCCTGATTTCTTTTTATCTCTGATGCTGCTGCTAATAACGCTTCATGTTCCAGCTTACATGCACTACTAGCTTCTACATTCTGGGCAGGCGTTACAGGAACAATACCATCAAGAATCCCATAACCTTTAGGAGTTTTTTTAGGTTTTTTCTTCTGAGGTGTTTGCATGCTCCGCAGTTCTACTTTGCTTAAGAGGTACTTCTGCCATTCATCCCTCATGACCTTCAAAAGAAAATATGCAGTGTCAATTTTAACTACACGGACCTGAAAACCATTATAGTCAATTGCAGTTTAGATACTAGAACAGCAATAGCATAACCACCACCACTCCCCCCACCCCAAACTCAAAAAAGGATTTTCTAGGTTAAAGCTTCTATCCACTAAAGTGAAATGCTATGAGAAAATTAGTTCCATAAATAATTTTATTAATTTGGAAAGCAAGAAAATGCCTAAAAGAGCGCCAAAATAACATAGAAATAAAGGTTATTGTAATTTACTAAAAGAAAATAATAAAACCTTCTGCGGGCTGTTAGTGATGCAATCTTCAAGTTGCATGCATGAGCGCTCATCTTTGCATGCCACCAAAATTATACCATTATTGTCCTCTTCAACATCCAACAAAGGTTCTCCTGAAGAAGCTTGCTTTTGTCTTTCCTCTTCTATCTCTTCAAGGACCTCCTATGAAAAAATATTTAAATTATAAAAGGGAAGAACAGATGTGAAGACTACTGCTACATCATAAGTATTTTAATTTTTATAATACATAAACTGTAAGCAGAAACATCATCCCAGATCCAAATGACTGGAGACAGCATGCAGAAAACAGACAGCAACAGATAATAGAACTCACTAACTCACACGTAACACCTTCCACTTTGGAGATTCTTCCAAAACTTCTTCAAGCACTACTCCATTATTTGTACTTATTGAAGTATCAGCAATTCCTACATGCACAATTATTAGGCGAGAAAGGTTAGAGCATCAAAAGCTTCTAAATGAAATTTTTATTTTGGGTATGCCATGGTGTAGAAATTCACAAACAGCAGAACAAATTCAACTCACCTCCATCATTATTATTGCCATACTCCTTCAGTTTTCTCTTTTTGCCAGACACGTTCTTATTAGGCTTCTTAATTTTGGTACCATCTGACCGTGCAAAACGATAAACTCGCTTCTTTGCATAGTCAAATATCTTATAACTGGACTCTGCAAATATCCAAACAGACCGAAAACTCTCTGATACTCTAAGCGTATCCAAATACTTCAAATAACTCACTGCATCATACCTACCCAAACAAATATATTAAAAATCAATCCACAAAGTTCATAACAAAACCCTTAAGCTATCAACTCAAATGCACTACAAAACCATAATTAAAATGTATTTGGTTCACAACAAAACCCTTCAACTATCAACTCAAATGCATTAAAAACCATAATTAACATGTATTTGGATGTAGAAAGAAAAGGGGTCTCTTTCTTTAGTACCTAACAAGATAATCCAACAACTTCCTCAAAGTTTTCAAATCCGAAACGAGCTGCTTCGTCTTCTTCCCCAAAGTATGCCAAATGGGATCCAATTGTCTCCTCACAATCTCATCAAATGACTTAAACAACCCATTCTCCACCGTCAGATCCTCAACATCAACCTTATTAGTCTTCCTCATTTCCTTCAAACAAGCATCCATGACTTCCACAATAGCTTTTTGAATCCCCAACATGTATTTACTCATTGGCACCCTTATATCCACCACTGCCGGCGGATCCCTCTCCAATTCCTCCGATACATTCACTTGAAACCTTGGCCAAAGATGAAGCCTTTTAATGAACAAACCCTTCATTATCCTCTCCGTTTTCGCAAACCCAGAAACCATAGAGTGAGGCTTGTCTGAAAACGCGTAAACAGAAGCATTTTTATTGAAAGTTTTGATAATTCTCACAATGAAAGATTCAGTTGAGCTTTCAGAGAGTGAATGGGCATTGAGGAAAACGACACCGGAAATTAAGGAAGTTTGGGCCTTTTCGGTTAAGAGGTCGACGATGAGGATACGAGGGGAGAGGAGGAGGATTCGATTGGAGGAATAGAGGGAGAGGCGGTTAGAGGAAGGGAGATCAGCCGTGATTTCGGAGAGAGGGAGGTTGGGGGAGAGGGAAAGGAGGAGAGATTTGAGGGAGGAGGAGAGTTGAGGGGAGTGGAGGAGGAGGAGGGAGCCGTTGGATTGGGAGCGAAGAGAGAGGAAAGAAGAGAGGAGTTTTGGGAGGCAAAGGCCGGAGGAAAGGATTACGACTCCGCCGTTTGGGTCTTCGAGGATGTCGGAGACTATCTGTTCGTGGAATTTTAGGACCATTTTAGGGCTAGGGTTTGGCGGGAAGGATGGCGGAGACGTTGGGGCGGAAGAATTGGAGGGGGTTTACTTTTACTTCGAATAAGAGCAGTGGCCAAAATCAAATGTGAAAGGTTGGTATAAACGCTGCCGTTTGGCATTCGGCCTTTGGCCTGGCTTCCACTATTTCCTTTGACCTTTCCTTGCTTAAGGGTTTTAGTTAAGGAGAATTATCCAAAACCCAATTTGACATTAAGATCGGTAATTAGAAAATGCTACAATTATAAGTGTTTTTTTTCTATATGAATCAATCAATATAGCAAAAATCTTTAGAATTGCTCAGAACATTGAGAATGTTGCCTTAAGCTCATATCAATCATCATTTGTGAACAGGTGGAAGAGTTGCGTCAAAGAAGACAATCCAACTCTTTCTCTTTTTCTTGATGTACAATTGTTTGATTAAGCTTTATCATAGAATGATTTGAGTACAAATTACAAAATCTTTCTCCAACTAATCAAGAACAGAAATGAGAGCAACAAAATTACCCAAGAAAAGAAAAAGTTCAAAAAAAAAAAAAAAAAAAGCAAATATGCATCCTTGTAGAATACTATAGTGTACAAAGCAGCAAATAGGTATACCAGTTTCAATTTGATTTCACATTTGCATTAAGATCTCCAAGACTCTTCTTCATTCTTCGCATGATCAAGGGAACAGGCTTTTGCAAGACAGAGAAGTTGATATTGTTCCAAACATCTGATTTGGTTGGGAGTTGCACGATTTTCTCTGCAATCTCCATGTCCCCTGGAAGAACAGAACCGAATACAGTGTATGAATTTTTCCATTCTTCGTGGTTTGCTAGGCTTATAAAGAACTCTGGTCCAGAGCCAATCCAGGCAACTGATCCCCCTCTTATGGTAGGGCAAGCCTCTGCTGGAATCTTTTTGAATGGGGTTCCTTGGGCTTCAAGAATTCCTTGAATCAGTGCAAATGGTGGACCATAAGGAGTCTGAAATTTTGCAAGCGAAACTTGGTTTTAGAAATATACAATCTTCAATAGCTAGAAGCGTATGCTCTAAATAATTGATTTGACTGAAAAACTACACATGCATGAACCCTCTCTACTTCTGAGGAGCCGAGATCTTCAATAGAAGGAGAGTTATGGATTTTTAGATGTAATTGTATCATCATTTGAATTGGAACCTCTCTAGCCCATCAGCACCATACCTCCCCTACCCTAAGTTAGGATTCAAGACCTAGCTCAGTGAGCTAGTCTACACAGAAAGTTGCTGACTCCAAGTTAAACCAAGCACATATTCTATAACAGAGTTAATGGGCCAAAAAAAAGGAAAGATAAGAAAAAGGCTGCAATATTAGAACAACAGCAGCCCCAAAACAAACAAGTAGCATTTAAATTTCCTTACATCTTTTATGTGATTTCCTTTTGAATCCCAAGATTTTCCACGGCTTTCTGCACGATATATTTGGCAACCCGCACAATGGCACAATGTTAACAGCTCAAGAATGTAGACCACAGAATATGGAGCACAGTCTGGGAAAAGCTGCATCAAACAAAGGAATTGGTGACTGCAATGATCTTTTAATTTTTCTGAAATTCTCTAAATTTATTTCTTATCACCTATACAGAATTCCAAACCTTGTTTGGAGAAGGTCTTATTAAGTTGGTGGCTTCTCAATAAGGGTCACCTTCATTGTGCTTCAGCATGTCAACCAGAAAAATTAAAGAAACAGCAGAAAACAAATTCTAAATGGCACATGCTGATCACATGTACCAGTAATACTCCTAAGATCACAGATATTCATCGTTTTTTTTTTTGTGTTTCTTCCAACCCTAACTAGCAGCAAAATCAGAAAAGGGCCAAAAAAGGTGAAGAATTATAACAGATAATAGCTTCTGAATGAGCTGTAACTAATAGCCCCAAACTCTATGATATTCATGCATAGGATCCACAATATCAAAAAGAGTAGAAAGATAGTCTTCTAGAAGTAAAAATACTCACTTTGATATGAAGAGTACCATATTCAGTTCCCATTTCAATGATACCCTAAATAAAGAAACCCAAGAATGATAATCAATGTTGGAGAAATGTTATTCAATAGATGAAATTTCAACAATAAAAAGGCCAAAGGAGAGCTGTGCTTATAAAAAGTAATCAACAGAAAAAAGTACTCAAATTATCAGATTATGCAGTCAGTATCATAAAAATAGAAAACACATTAAAAAATTTTCATCAAGCTTATGTTGTATACCTCTCCTTTCCCGAAGATAAGCCCAGAAGTCCAACTAACAGTTTCCCCTGCCTCTTGCCGATCAGGGGACAAAGTATCCTTCTGTTTCTTCAATCGACACTGGAAGAACAGAATGATAAATAAAAGACTAGCTCTCATGATTCAAAATTTAACATAACATTTGGATTACCGTATACAACAAAAGCAGATAGAACATTAAGCCACCTTTTGCACCACCAAATAAAGTCATGATAGAAGATGACTAAGGCACTAAGCATGCAATAAAACACCCCAATCTTATCTAAAAGTGCACTTGGTAATGTGAGATTCAACAGCAATAGGAGATTAGAAGTATCTTTTGTCTTTGATCATTCCAGCTAACTCTTCATAAATGAACTATATATAAGTCGCGATTCTTGAACAAAAATTTAAAATAAGCAACCTAAGTAATACCCTTCTAAATGAAATTATAATATTTGATCTAAAAATCTGCCAATCGTTCTCCTCTGACTACATTAAGCACAAGACTTTTGCAAATCAGAACCAAGACTTCTAACAGTAAGAAAACAGTTGGAACAGAATTAAGCATTGTCAAATGTCAATTCTCAGTAAAGCTAATGCATTCACCAGGTCAAGTCAAACAACCACGACCAAGAACATCAAGTAAAGCGAAACAATTAAGAACAGGTGACCATCTAATTCGACATTTCGGGCTCACCTAAAAAAAACCTTTAAAAAACAATAAGAAAAAGCAAATTAAAGAAGGAAGAACGCACCTCCCCAAATCTGGACCCGCAAGCCTTCTTGTTCCCACAGAAAACCCAAGTATCACGCAAGCAAGGTCCATCATTGCCACTACACATGGTCTTACAAGCCTGACAACATTCCACAGAGGAATTGAACCTGAACTCAGACCCCCACTTCACAGCTGCACCCCACAGCTCCAAATTCTCAATGCCTCTACAACACACACCCTTCTTTCCTCCCAAACCACCACTCGCCACCACTTCCAAAGACTCAAATCTGGAATCCCGAGAATTCACATTGGGGTTCAAGAGTGTAGAAACAACTGCATAGACCAGAACACATGAGAACAGAGCCACCAAGAGGAGGACGAGAGAGGCAAAACGGGACTGTTCTGGGTCGTTTAGCCTACGACCCATTTGAGATTAAGGGGTCCAGAGAAAAACCCAGAAAGGAATTTGGAAACTTTGGATCGTAAAAGGAGATAGAGATTTGGATTTCGGAGAGTGCGTTGACTGAAAACAGATAAGAAACTGAGAATTTCTCATGGGGGATTATTATTAATTAATTAATTAACTAAATTTCTTTAAAAGACAAAGAAAAATAGAAAGCTGGTAAGTCAACTTTCTTTGTTTACTACTAAAACTAACGTGAATTAGACAAAAATTGGTTCGTTCCATTGCATTTGTTCTTTTTCTTTCGTAAAGTTGAAGGACTGGAACGACATGCATCATTTACCGGTGATAGTGAAACTTTGAACGACGACGTTTTCTGGAATAAAGAAGTTTGAATTGATTCTAGTTTCTGGAATTAAAACTATACCCAGTCAACTTTTAGTTTTAGTAGATGTTCTCAATTTCTTTCTTTCTATTTCAACATAGTCCATGGAAAAATGCCACTATCGATCAATCACCATTAATTATGCCACTAATGGCCACTTAATTTCTCTAATTTTCCATTGTTCCGTTTACCTTTTGATTGGACAATTCAATGAGTTGACTCCTTTAGCAAATTATTTCATACGACTAAATGGTTGAGAAATCAAAACCACCAACAATTGTACTAGAAATATCATTTTCTTTTCCACAAAACACGAAAAGTAAGTGGCATGTGTTCACAAGAATTCTCCATCTTAGCATATTTTTATCGACATAGGAAGGTGGAATGAAAGTATGAAAATGAAAAACCATGGGCAATTGATGTTAATGATGAAATGATAGAGAAAAAATAAAAAAGAGTAGGTCAAAAATCAAAGGAAAAAAGGGGATGGAAAGAAAATAATACTATGAAAGAAAAAAATGTATATGTCATCGGTATGCTTGTCGGTGTACCCCAAAATAATTGTAAATATATAAATTTCTTTCAATTTTTTTAGTAATTCAAAGTAATTTGGTTTTTTGAGGTTTAAAAATCCTACTTGAATTAAAATAGATCTTAATTTTTAATTTTAATAATCACAATTTAATTTATAAATTGACTTAGTCTTTTTGAAGTCACTTTGAAAACATCTAGTTCGGTTAATTTTTTTTTAATTTATGAATCATTCATTATGCTTGTAAAAAAATGCCACATGATGATGTTGACCAGATGATAGATGCAACAATTCAAGAATAATATATCATTGGTTTATTGTGACTTGTGAGTCATTAATCAAGTATTTTCCCCTTGTCGGTGCTTATATCAACTATCAAGTTTCTCATTGGTTTAATTTCTGTCGGAAGTAATATTCAAGTATAATTTAATTAGAAAAATCATATCAGAATTAAAAAAACTCATAAACTTTATTAAGGGATCAATTTCATGATCCCGATCCTCTTTTGCTTAACTTTCATATGCTATCATACATATATCAAGCCAATGCAAGTAGTTAATTATACATTGCTGCAAAATCCACTTTGTTTAATTATTTCTATTTTATAAAGCAGCTGATGACTCCTTCAAGCAGCGGCAATTCATGGAGTTGTGAGACCTGCCAAAGGAAAAACGAGAATCAAAAAGTGAGGAACTTGAGAATTAATAGTGCTAATTGTATTAACAATAAGGAGAATTGAATTAACTAAGATCCTGAGCAAGAAAAGTAAAATTTAAACTCATCAAGGACTTTGACAGGGGGAAATCAAATTAAGCTTACTTCCACATTTGTATTGGCGAGGGACCTTCCTGCCGCAGCCTTCAATGAGGCGGATAGCACGGTTGAGATCGATAAGGGCAGCCAGCTTGGGCGTGATGACGGGGCAAACGCATTCGAGATGGGTAACCCTTACCCGCTGGCAGCACTCTGGACTCGGAAGCTTACCATAGACCACCGGCTTGCAAGCATTAATCGCCAAAGTCCTTTCCTCCTTGCACTCCGCATCACTTAGTTGTGCACCAGCCATCTTAACCTCCCACATGCCTGCAACTCCTACCATCACTAACACCATGAAAGCCAATGACTTTCTCTCCATCATTTTCTCTCTCTCTCTCTCTCTCTCTCTCTCTCTCTTTTTCCCTTGCACAAAAAATGTTAGGGCTACATACATATATATCGCCGATAGGGGCTTGAAGAGTACGTGAAACCCCACCCAAACGGCCAAGCCCAGCCCTCCCACTCTTCCTATTTTTTTCTACCTAGCTGGTACTGGTAGCTATACTTTTGGGCTTTTTTTCTTTTGTTCCTGCCGAATGCTTTCGGTTTTCTTTGACTTCTTTGTTCTTCGGCATACTATAGGCTAGTCCTTTTCACATTGAACATTGAGGATTTTACATTTTTATTTCCTTTGTAGTTCAATTTAACCCATGTGGCTCTGTATATATCGAGCAAGCATTCAGAATTGCGTGTTCGTTTACTTTAATTAAACTGCCATTAAAAAAGAAACCATGGCAAATATGGCAATTGATGTTGATGATGCATGAAATGATAGAGAAAAAATGGAAACCAGAAGTAGGTAAAAAATCAAAGGAAAAAAAGGAATCGAAGATTCAAACAAATGAGAAAAAAAAAAAAGCATATATCATTCTTTTCTTATAAATATATCATATAAATGTATCTGGTGATTCATTCTAGTTTGGTTAATCTTTTTCTGATTTGATAATCATTCAAGTATTTTTCTCTAAGCTCATCGGCAAACTTTTATCATTAAACTAATTAAATGGCAATGGTTGTTCATTGATGAGATTAGTTTTGTAAGTAAAATTTTATAGTTTCCAAGTGTAAGCCTGCAAGAAAGTAAGATTCTCCATCAATTGATGAGCAATATCTCATGGTATAATTAAACTATTTTTGGTTCCTCCTTTAAAAGGTAACTAATTAATTATTTAATTAATCCACTGTCCTCAAAACCTAAACTGTTAGGCAAAATAAGAATAGGTTTTAATTAATCAAACATGCTCCAAGTTACTGACCATTAGAACAAAATTACCACATATAAAGGAAAAAAATAGACAATCTTATTTCTATTTTCTAAAAGAAAAGAAAATTTTAAGTGAGCAGAAGTTTCCTCATTCTATGATCAGAACAAACTACAAGTCTCAAAAAACCTTACATTAGATTTAAAGATATCTATGAAAAGGGATTGTTGATAGTTGAATTCAAATTTAAACTTTACAAGTAAAGTATTCAAATTTTACCAATTCATATTTCTTTTGTTAACAATCATATTTTTTTAATTTCATAGTATGACTAATTTATGTGAATTTAGTCGAATAATTATATGTTTTGTTGATAAAATATTAAAATTTTAATTTTAATTATTAAAATTTAATTTTTAATAATTTTAAATATATATAAAAAATTGTGCGAATTTATTTGCAAAATGCCACATGATGTTGCTTTGGTGAAAGAGCATTAACCTGGATGACAAGCTGGTCGATTTTTCTTGGGTGGCATTGGTGATCAAGATACTGACAAGTAGAGTCTGGCTAATTGACTTGGTCTTATCATGCCATTTTGGGAGGAAATGTAACAGGATCAAGCTTCTTGTTTGGTTTCGTCTGGATTGTGAATCTTTAATCAACTATCTTTCCCTTGTCTCAGTGCTGTCAACTATCAAATTTAAATGACAGAGGTTGTTCATTTGTTTTAATTTCTGTCAGAATCAGTATTCAAAAAATATATATTATAATTTTATTAGATAAGTCATTGTAAAATTAGAAGCATATCTTCCATTAAAGTTTATAGCTTCACATCATATTTATTTATTTTTCATAGCTCTTATACAAAAACAAATCCACATTAAATATCTAAATTAATAATTTTGATGATTAAAATTCCTAGTTGCTATTAGGAAACATTTTGATCAATTGGCATAATGTTATATCTATTATACTTTATGGAGAAATTTTTCTAGAAAATTCCATCTTATTATGATTGCAAAATGGCACTTGATGATTGATTATGAAAACTTTGGTGAAAGAGCACTAAGCAATAATTAAGTCATTAGTCACCAAAATATTGAGAATTGTAGAGTTTGGTTGATTGACTTGGTCTTTAACACGTCTTTGAGTCAAGCTTATGCTTTGGTTTCTTCATTCTTGTGAGTGATGAATCATTATTTTTCCTATGTCTCAGTGCTGTCAACTGTATCAATTTTAGATGCAGAGATTGTTCATTGGTTTATTTTCTGTCAAAACCAGTATTCAAATATAGTATAATTTTCTTGGAAAAGTCATGAGTAAAGTTTGAAGAATATAATCTTCCATTCATGTTTATAGCTTTCACATCATATTTATTTATTTTTCATTGCTCTTAGCCATATTTATTTTTTATTTTATAAATTATTAGAATATCTAATTTAATGAAACATTGTAAGAGCATGCTTCCACATTTGTTGCGGCGACGGACCCTCCTACCGCAGCCTTCAACAAGGCGGATGGCGCGGTTGAGATCGATTAGAGCAGCGAGCTTAGCTGGCAGTACTCTGGACTTGGAAGCTTACCATAGATGACGGGCTCGCAAGCATTAACCGCAATACTCCTTTCCTGTTTGCACTGAGCAGCACTGAGTGCTGCACCAGCCATCTTAACCTCCCTCGTGCCTGCAACTGCTACCACCACTAACACCATGAAAGCCAATGACTTTCAAGCAACCATGAATGCAAGAGTTAGAGTCTCCTCTTGGCCCACTTGTATAAATGCTTTTATGTCTAGGTCAAGTCCCTTTGCTTTTCTTGGAGGAGCAGAGTGTCGTAAAGTGGGTCCAAGTTTCTTCTCAAATTTCTGTATGGGGCCCACCACAAATTGTTGACCCGTACTGTTTGGATGGGAAGCCGTTGACTCTTTCTTATCAAACAGAAGGTAAGGTTTTGGTAAAGCCCAAGAAAAACATAAAAAGGGTTTTTTAGGAAGAAAAACTTCTGGAATTTTTAGCCTTTTTTTTTTACGTTATTTGTTGTTTTTTTCTTTTAAAGAAAATTTCTAGAATTTTTAAAAGTTTTGGTCGTAAAAAAATCTACATTGTTTTCTTCTTTGAGGATTAATAATATTATCATGAGCAACCAACTTGCCATTGGAAGGAACCCAAAGTCACGAGTGGGGATAGAGGATGGAGGTGGGGGACAGTTTTTTGGATAAGCTAAATGTTTATTTATTCAAAAGAAACAAGGGATAATAATGAAGAAAAGCAAATGCATAATCGATATATTTAATTATATTTATACCAACACCGACTCTATTACCCTACCTCACCGTCCATCTATGCGAAGAAAAAATTAGTTCTTGCATCTAAATTTTCTTTGGTTCTTAGTTTTTTCTCTTAATTATAAATTCTTAATATGATTTTTTTTCACACTATTTTGGCAAGTATTTCAATAGCTAGCATGGTTTATTTTAACGGCAATATCTTCCATAGACTAGATGAAAAAATTTTTAATTTCATTCGTGAAATTAAGAAGTGTCATATATTTTATTTTTTAATTATTTATTTTTTTATTATATTTAAAGAAATATGTGTCAACATATTAATTATAATCGTAAATGAATATGAAAGCTTTTTTTATATATTTAAAATAACTTTTGTCAATTTGAATAGCTGAAGGATCTCCTCTTGTCTAAAAATTATTATCCATTCCATACTGTTGCATAAATTATCACTAAAAGGTCATTAAAGGTCTATAGGGTAGAAATTTGATCCAATAATCAATGAAAACTGCCACATACTAATCCATTTTTTTTTTTTAAGTAAGCTAGATACTTCAATTTGTGTTGCAAATATATCTAAGCAATAAGTCATCAAACAGGAAAATGAGAATTTTGGCATGTACAGTACTTGACTTGAATGATAGAGATTTCCTATTAGATCCACCATGTGAAAAAAGGAATTGAAGCTGTGGAATAAGCAAGGAAGCTTCTCTCCATGCAAGTGGCTCGTGGAAATCCATGGTATTTGATGATTACATTACATACAGACATTGACTTGGAACTTTTATATTTCTGCATATTTGGTGTTGGTGGAGTTGGTGTGGTTTTGTTCCTTTGCTAATTGTTTCTGAACTGCAAATATGGGTTGATTAATATGACTAAGACAGCTCCAAACAACTGGATCCCACCGCTAGAAATTGAAGGGGAGATAAGGGAGTTTAGTATATTTAATTACTCGTAACTTAATTCAATTATTTCATGTATTTATTTTTAAGAGATAATATTTAATAAATTTAATGTTCAAATTTTAATATTTATAATTTTTTTTTTTATTTTCAAGTTGTAATCTCTTTTGTTATAAAAAAAAAAAAGAAACTTGCAAAAGTTGCCATCCACAGGAAAATAAGAGAATAACATGAGTCAAGCATTCAGAAAAAAGTGCAAAATTACATCTTGATTACATAATATAAACTGTAACATTGTTAGTGTTCGAAGTAGTAGAAAACAATGTAAGATTTGAAATCAGTTATGAAAGATGTTTCACAAAGTGTGAAATCTACTACAATATGAATTGACCATATGATACATCAATCCAGTGTAAGTCTGCTGTATAGAAAGGCATATCAAAGCTGTAAACCTCAAACACTACAAGCTTAGATACACACAGATCTTGTTGAAACATTTACTAAGGGGCATCAAAGTCACCACTGACGTCAACTTCAGATTCTAAATCTGCCTCAGCATCATCAGGGTCTGAAGACCCTGCAACAGCTTCTTCACCAACTTTGGCTCCTTCAGCCGGTGTCTTAGCCTCTTGTATGATACGCATTATTTCTTCAACGCTTTGAGATGGTTGGTCACGTTCTGGTTCCGCATGGTGTGTTTTTTCAATTGCAACCAGTTCTTTTGGTAAGTTTTTCAGAAACCAAGGATGTTGCTTGATCTCTGGGATGGTAATCCTCTTCAAGCAAAGATTAAGAGAATCAGTACGCAAATATTCACATCATTTCAAATATTCTAATTAAATGAAACTGAAATGGTTTTCCCTTTTGAGTCATTTTAATTAGATGCAACTGAGTAAGTTAATCACTTCAGATATTTTCTTCTAGATGAACGACAGTATTGTAAGAAATACAAAATGGAAAAAGAATGATATACCTTGGCAGGATTGGCAACAAAGATACGCGAAAGAAGATGTCTGCAATCTGCAGACACCTGTACATAGTTGGGTATAGAGTATGTTGCGCTGAAGCAATAATCACAACAATACAGAAGCAATAGACAACAATCAATAATCAAATGCGCAGGAAAAAATAAAGCACACCAAGATTTACGTGGAAAACCCTCCAGTGTAGAGGGAAAAAATCACGGGCCACCAGAAAAATCTTCACTATCAAATAATAGTTATACAAAGTTCTTCTCTAGCTA